CTTCGATATTGGCAGTATCAATTGGTTGTGGTCTTCTTCGCATTTCGCGTCTCCAATTCTCAAGTTCCATTTCTGCTGCTGCGTGTCTATGAATGTTATTGTATTTTAATGTATTTGTAAATTTAAATGATTGATCAAAGTATTAATGAAGATTAGAATCAGAAAATTAATTTGTAATTTAATAAATTGCGTGAAACGTACAAAGCTCTAAACTGTGTTTCTCTAACAGCCGGATTCAAGGGTCGAGCAAGTATAGGCTTATTCCAAGGTGTAGTATTATCTCTTTGCCAATTACCACTACTTTGTCGTACACCTTCGACATCGCCGGCTCTTCTCAAGCCCGATCTGCTTCCTCGAGGACTAGCCATTTGACGGACTGGTTGTTCCAGTAAATTTTCTTCTCTGTCATCGCCACCTTCGCCTTCAACATTAATATTTTGCCTTTGAGCAAGAGCTTCAATTAATTGGTCAATATTAGACCGTGGTTCGTGAGTTGGAAGACCCTCGATAACTTCTTGCATTCCTATACAAAATAATATTTAGTAGGAATGCAAATTGATAATATGAGAATATTAAATTTCTTATATTATATACATGAAGTAAGGATAAAAAATAACTTCTATACCTCCGGCACCTACTGCAATGTTTGGTACTAATTGCTCTCCTCTACAGTTTTCTCTTCCAGGAACCAGTCTTTGTAAAGCTGGTGGGTAAGGATTTCCATCAACATCTACCAAAAATGGTGGAGGCATTAAGTGAGGTGCTGTTTGCGTTTGTTCATCCAAAACATAATTATTTGCATCTCGTATTAATGGTCTATAATCCGTATGGAAAAATAATTCTTTTGGTATCTAAAAGAAAAAAATATGTTTATTAATATGCTTATCGGTAAAAATTAGAAGCAATAAAATGAAAAGATAAAACCGAAGGGACTTACTATTTTAAGTTTCTGAACACCAGATCCGAAACCATATATCAAAAGATGTCCATGAGAATCTGTAGCTGCTAGCACTGTTCCGTCCGGAGACCATTTTGCATCAAAAACAGCACCGTTACCTTGACCTTCGATAAAATTTTGGAAACAAGCTATTGGTTCTGTATTTAGTACATCCCAAATTATAAGTTGTCCATCATGTCCGGCACTCAATATCACACGAGGATCTATTGGATGAGATTCTAACACAAAGACTTCATCTTTATGTCCACGAAGAACTCTTACCAATTCGCCTGACTTCGCATTCCATACTTTTAATGAACTGTCATTTACAGCTGTAATAACCCATTCATCGCTTACATCCCAACTAACCATGGTTACTTTAGCTTTTTTATTAGAATCATCATCTGTTTCCGATTCTCTAAAAATGATAGAAGATAGGGCATAGTTATTAAAATTATAATAAATAAGCAAATATTTGGTGAACGCTTTATAAACATATATAATGTTTTAATTACCCTGGAAGTTTTGTAGTCATTAATAAACGTTTATAAACCCACTGTTGCTGTTCAAAATTCCACACATTTGCGGTGCCATCTTTAGAACCGGAAATAAACTTTAAACCACTATGTGCCCATTGAATACTATCAACTGTATCAGAGTGTGATTCAACCTCTAAAACTCTACGTGGACCTTCATCTCCTAACATTGCATATACTCGAACATGATGATCTGCTGAGCCAGCAGCCATAAATGCTCCACCAGGGCTAAATGAAGCACAAATCATCTGTGCCTGGCCAGGTCGCATTTTTTCATGGTACTGAATTGGTTTTGGTCTACAAAGAACGAATAGTAAGTTCCATTGTGTGAGATTAATGTTTATGGAAAAGATAATTTAATTGTTACAATGTTGAAATAAAAAAATAAAACTGATATCTCTACTCACTGAAACACTGCTCTCTCCTTTGCTTTTTTTGTATGAGACCAAAATGCAACAGATCCATCTGTACTTGTGGAAACCAAATAGTATACACCATTACAAGATATAGGACAAAAATTTACAGATGTTATCATGCCAGAATGTCCAGACAGAACTGCTACCTGAAAAGAAATAATGGGCGATTAAGATGAAGTATACGCAAACCAACTCAAAATGATACCGCTAACTGCTTACAGGAGACATAGTTTGAAAGCACCAGACACGCAGTATTCGATCTAGACTTCCAGCAGCAAGTAAAGTATTATCAAAATTTACTGCAATATCCATAATTTCAGCTGAAGCTCCCCGAAAAGTAGCTAATAAACGTCCATCAATAGAACTCCATACTTTAACAAGTAAATCATCTGCTCCAGTTATTATATACTTCCCAGTGCGATCAAAAAGAACACAATATACTGCAGATAAATGTCCCAATGTATGTCTGTACAACTGCATTTTACTATAAAACTTCGTTGGTATCGCCTCCCGTCGACTCAAAGGACCTGAATTCTCCCTTCCTTGAAGTACACGTACTATAAAAAGATGAAGATACAAAATAGTGTCGAAGCAATGCTAGCAAATATGAGAGATATTTATTCTTCAAATTTTAAACATTACATATCCAATCTACCTGTATTAGGCACTGATAAACTATAAGGTGATTTCAAAAAGGGTTTTCCACCTAGTCTTCCAGAATATGAAACGATGCCATGTACTTGACGTAAGACATCTACAAAAATTTATGATATACATACATACAAAAGATGAATAATATCAATAATTATTTAAATATTTTTGCATTAATTTCAATCTTACCCTCGTATGTACGTAACAAAGATTGTCTGCCTGCTCCAAGAAGGGATACTGCTCCTGGTATACATGGAGGAACTTCTTTTTCTAATACAGGACCAATTCTGGCACATATTTGTAACAAATGATTTGGTCCAATATGAGGATACTTCTTTTCCTACAATATCATGTTTCACAATTATTTTTTATTAAATTTTACTATATGTAATATACCGGATATATCTCGAAATATACCATTAACGATAAAAAAAAATATTTTACTACGATTAGTTTCGCGCTAATAATTTAAATTTAAGTAGTGTAAAGTAGTCCCTGTCTCTAACCAATCACAGAACGAACAAACAGAGACGACCAATCTGAACAGACCACTCGTCACGTACGATACCAGTTTCTATAAATAAGGTCTGAGCACGAAATATACTCATTGATCAGCTCGCACAAGATGGCCGGAAGTTAATGCTTATTGGTTGAAAGTAACATAGTGGGGAGATCTTGTGCAACAGCGCACAGACCATGGGGAAGGAGAAAGGTAGAGTGGTGGGACAGAAAAGGGGTAGCATTCTATTAGGGGTACTTCGAATATCCGCATTCGTCTACCACTTTACGACACAATGAAACACAATTTATCATAATATCATTTCGAAAAGTAACTTAATTTTCCTGTCGTATGCAGCGAATTTTTATATCCTAAATAACAAATTTCCAGGACAAAAAATTCAGTCACTTACCAACTCTTCAAATGTTTGATTATGTACATTCCCTTCCCAATCTAGTCTTTGCGGTAAAACCTGCGAAAAAATCAAAAATCACAAAAATTGATCGATCGATCGATCAATTTTACACGAAATCAAACTGGCACAATTTGTCGAATATCAAGGTCGCCGACCTTGAAATTCTAATGTTTTGACAAGCAGAAACCACGTGCAAACCATGTGGAGCCGATGGGTATGTATAGTGTCACCCCGGCAAAACGTCAACTCAGACCAATCGTCTTACCTTAGCTCGCTCCAATTCACGCTTCAACACCTAAAACGTACATTTCTCGTCACGATACGTTCGAACGTAATTCCATCTTTTTAAACCAGGAAACACTCACCTCTGCGGCCTCACGACAAGGTCCCGCCGTTAAGAATTTGGCAATTACGAAGTACAGCTCTGTAAGAAAGAACGCTGCTTAGGAACGAACCGCACGCCTCGCTTCGTTGCGGACGGTAAGGGGCGCTTATCGCTCCCATTCTTTACCTGGTGCTATTGCAGCCTCGTTCTTGGACACGCTGCCCTCCATTTTGCCTGACCAATCGTTTATTATTCACTCACAGACAAAGAGAAACATTTACTTTTTAGGGTCATAGCGCGGCAATAACCATTTCGGATTTCATTTTCTCTCTCGCGAGGTCTCGACCGCGAGACGCACACGCACGCTCACCTCCTCAACGGAAAGTAGTCCCCCCCATACCCGATTGTCGACACAACGTACCGTATTATGCAGGAACGTAACATGCTACTTAGGAACCCCCTACTCAATTTTTGCTTCGTAGCTAATGAGAAAATATTGCATCTCTTTCCCACGATATTTCGTAAAAAAAAAAGAAAAAGCGAAATTAGACGTACAGTTTTAAGATTATACACACGTGTTGTACTCGCGTTGTTTACGAATACGCGTGACTATGAAACATATTCACATCTCAGAGGCAAACTTTATTCAATTTTTTATTTTATTATGTATTTTCGAAATTTGGGAAAAATATGTTAAGTCATTTAACTACTGTTACGTTCCTCATTTCTGCTTGGAATATTACATTTCCAAAAGTTGGATTTTGCGTAGTTTACCCGTAAGATACGAATATTTGTGAACATATGTTCCGTGCAACACTGTAATTGAAGTTAAGATTGTAGAAACAGAGAACTATATTTATAAAAAAATATGAACAAAGCAGCAGATAATCTTAATTTCAAGATTAATATAAACTGTAAAGAAATAAAGTGTAAAATTCATCATGTTTGTCACCATAAGTGTCCAGTCGATGATCACACTATAGTCTTTACAAAACTCAAAGTTTTGCTTATAAAAAAAAATACTTTTGTAATTCAAAAACAGTACAACGAAAATTAAAAAAATTATTATTAACAAAACAAAAATACTGTCTTTACATAGCGATGCAATATGTTACGTTGATACTCAATAAATTATTTTAATACGTGATCTAGTTAGATTCATTAATTTAAAGTCATTTTTACAAGTAACTTAGTAGTCCATTTATGTTTGCATTTATTTTAGAATCTGGTGTAACGAAAATATTCTTATAAAATAAATTAATTGCAATAAATAATAATAGATGTCTTAAATAAGTACTCGTCGCGAATATAAACATTATTTGTCATTATCATTAGTATTCAAATATTTATATACATTTATGGAGGTTAAAGACAAATATGTACAATTTTCTCGATAAACTAAAGTTCAAGATGGACGCTCTGTAACTCGAATAATACTCGAAATATCTATGTGTAACTAACTTGACATATGTACATGAATGTATTTATTGGAATGCATCAATGTAACTTTTCTAAAATTTTGTATTCCTAACAAAATTTGTTAATGAGTATCCCAATAAGCAAATGCAATACCATGCAAACTGTATAAATAAAGATGTTATGAAACGAACTATTGTAATTCACGGAGATAATGACTGTGTATTTAAAATGTTGATAAGGTTAAATGTCGACGTGTCGGGAGGATAATTATTTTAGTTAGTTTTTTCAAAGATACGCATGACTTGCCACGAAGTACATTTGAACAATATTCTTGTACAAAATTCTACAGTTATAAGTTCGTGCGAAATAACGTATATTTTTTAATAGTGTCATTACACCTTACTGTTACTTGTGATGAAAAAGTACACAAAATAATAAAAAAAACAATGTCTATATGAAACGTTTAAAATTAATCGTGAAAGTCACTCGAAGAAGTTTTAAATATTATTCTTAAAATTTATGTACTTAAATATTTGTAAACAATGTCATGGATAAGAGATAGCACGTTAAGTTGGTTGCAACTTTTGGCAACAAAAGTTATAAAAACTGGGCATATTCCTAAGCATGTGGCATTTATAATGGATGGTAATAGACGTTATGCGACTAAAAATGGAATAGAAAAAATAGAAGGACATACAAAAGGGTATGTATTAATGGAATGTGTTATATGTATATGCAATTTATACATGCTTTGTGTTAAATATGAATTGAAATTTTTAGATTTGATAAGTTTGCGGAAACTCTACAATGGTGTAGAGATGTTGGTATAAAAGAGGTGACATTTTATGCCTTTAGTATTGAAAATTTTAAAAGAAAAGATGAAGAAGTGAATGGACTTTTGAATCTCGCAGAGCAAAAATTTCGACGTCTTCTAGGTGAAAAGTATGCCACAATTGATTTGTAGTTATAAAAAATGTTCATTTTATTTTTGTAAAAGATATAGAGAGTAATAAATATTTTTATTACAGAGATAAAGCCAAAGAATATGGTTTATGTGTTCGTATAATTGGTAATTTGTCACTATTACCTCAAAATATACAAGAATTGATAGCAGAAACTATGATTTGTACTAAAGATCATACTAAAGTATTTCTTAACATTGCATTTGCTTACACATGTAAGTGTGTTTAAAAAATGGAGTACATGTAAAGTAAATTAAGCCACATTTACATTACAATCAATCTTATGAAATTCTAATAACAGTGGACAATTATTAAGAAACATAGAAAGGAATTAAATTTATACATTGTTTTCTTATACAACATTTTAGCAAGAGATGAAATTACACATGCCATTAAGGATGTAATTGAGGGTGTTCAAGGTGGTGATATTCTTCTGGATGACATAGATGAGAATTTAATTTCTAATTGCTTGTACACAAATAATTCACCAAATCCTGACTTATTAATTCGTACTTCTGGAGAAGTCAGATTTAGTGATTTTCTTATGTGGCAAGTAAGTTTATAAATTATTTTTTTTTGTACTGTGTTCCATTCTGTAAATTACTATTTTGTAATATATTTCAGATATCAAACACGTGTGTTTATTTCACTACCGTGCTATGGCCAGAATTTAATGTGTGGGATTTTCTTAATGCAATATTTTATTATCAAAGATGTTATTCTGATATACAAAAGATAATTAAAATACAAAATGTGAAGCCGATAATACAAAATAGTAGACAATTGACATACATTGATAAGTTACATCATAAAAGACAAATTGCACTTGAACGTATATATCCAGGAAATATTTAAACATGGTACTGAAGTGACATATTTAAATAATATTGATCATCATTATTTGATAAAAATTTATATATTCTACTTTGTATATTTATGTAAACAAAATGTATGTCTTTATAGAATTTTGCATTTATTATGTATATAAAAATAGTTTTGAAAAGTAGATTCTTTCTGCATTTTTTAAGGGTGTTAAAATATGTACAAATATGAAAATTATGAATGATTCGTAAGTCTTGTTATATTCTTATAAAAAAAATCTATAGATATTTTTATGCTGTGTGAATTTCTTTAAAAATTGAATTTAATATATAAAACTTCACAGATGGGTAAAATTTTATTTGAGTAATAGATAAGGGATAGAAACAATATATAGCGATTCGTTTAGGGGACGAAATATTTAATTCTGTAATTCAAATTCTAATTTTTATTGAAAGTGTTATGGATTTTGTTCATCTCGGTAAGATGTATGTTGACAAAGTAACGGAACTTTTGTGTGTACACATAAATTTATCCTTTCTTTTATTTTGTGTGTTTACAAGCTTGTATATTATTTGATGTATTACATATATATATATATATAAAATTTACAAATAAAATAATATTTTCTTGAAATATCCTGTACATTACATTTGTTGCAGCGTACTGTTGGCTTATTTTTTAATATTCTTTCATTTTTGCCTTTATACATCACAATTGACAGCCTTTTATAAATCCTTTCCATAAAAATTAAAATTTTCGAAATCTTCTAGCATACATCTACAATCGTATAAGGTATGTTCATTAAATAAATATTACGCAGCATGTAATATAAATAATAGGAGGCACATTATTGTAGTTCTTACTAGGTAGAAACATACAAACCTATGCATTTTTATATTTTGATATTCATGTAACATGTACACATATTTAAAAATAAGTAACATGTATTATATATACAATTGTATACTGTATTATAATTTCACACCTATTTTTACAAAAAACCATTTGGGAATTGTGTTAATTTATTGGTAATCAATCTTTCATCAATACTTAATTGATATTGAAGTTTTATAGATTGTATAAGACATAAAGCTTACTATTATAGCATGAAAAAAAAAAAAAAATAAATATACATGTTGAATTGAGTAACCTCCTCCTTATCGAAGTCTGTTAAAAATTGCACAGTTCTTGAAGTGAGTGCTACAAAGTCCTGAATTATTTCTATCCATGTAGATGTTTCTTTTTATAATTCTAATTAAAATAAAGTCTATAAATCTAAATAGGAGTTTTGTTGCATATTATTTAGAATTATAAGGTAAATGACGTCTAGCTGATGGCTGCCTCTGTCGTGCCAAAAAAGATTGTCCCTGACCTGAACTCAAGGCTGCTAGACGTTGATCTATTGCTTCTCTATGACAAGTTAAACCTAAATGATAGAAGGCAGATATTATTAGTTTTTCTTCCATTTCTTTGATTAATTTAGATTCTTTTAAAGATCGTTCCATATCTTCCATAATCTTTCGTTGTTCTAAGATCTGATTCCTTAAAACACCTATTTCGTTAGGAGATGAATTATTTTGTTTAGGATCTAAACTTTTTATAACACTTTTCGCTTTTTCCACATATTTTTTATAACGTTCTTCAAGTGCTGCATTATCACATTCTCTGCGCGATAATTTTTCTTGGAGAGCAAAAGCTTTTTGTTTTTGAGCTTGTAGTGCATTTTCTCGTTCTTCGATTTGAAGAATAAAACGTTCTTTTTCTCCTTGCACTCTTCGTAGTTCATCTTGTAACTGTGTTATTTTCTGTCCTAAATTGGTATTGTCAGGTTTATTCTCTCCACTTGACTGTTTTCCCAATACTTCTTCTAATCTATTTTCTAATTCAATTATTTTCTGATTAGCTTTACGATTTTCAGTTCTAAGTACATTTAATCTTTCCTCAGAATCTTCTAACACTGCTTGGACTGTAGGTAACTTATCATCGTTTCCTTTCTGCTTAAGTTTCAACATTTTATTTTCATGTTGTAAACATAGTAACTTTTCTTTAATTTCAAGAGGTATCATTTCTGTACTTGTAACTGCACTATCAGTACTAGGTTTTGCCATATTTTCTGCTGCCTGTAATTGTGTACACTTTAATTCTTCATTTGTTTCTTTTAAAGCATCTCTTTCAACAATTAGTCTGTCTCTTTCCCTTTGTAAAGTGCTTAACTTTGCTTCCATTTTTTTCCCTTCAAATTCAAGTTTATCACATTTGTTGGTTTGTTCATCTAATTTATGATTAACTTCAGCAAGTTGTTGTTTGCAAACTTCTAAATGATTGCGTAGCATTGCAGTTCGCTTTGATTCTTCCTCATAATCTATCTTAGACTGCAAATATTGTAAGTTCTCATCTTCCAATATTTTAACTTGCCGTTTCAAATCACTTAGGTCTTCCATTTTCTTTTTGTAGAATTCTATTGTAAGTTCATATTTAGTTACTTTATCTGCAGTTTCCCTTAATGCATCTACTTCATCTTTTAAATGATTAGCTTTGGCTGCTGTTTTTTGTAAATCTTCTTGTCTAGATCTTAACTCTAATACTTCTTTTTCTAATAGTTCTACCTTTAATCTATAATCATCTCTAGAAGTTTCCACCTTAAATAGCTCATCTTTAAGAGCTTCTACTTCTTTCCTTAAGCCAGAATATCTTAAAATAGAACCAGATTCTTCTGGATTATCAAATTCATCTAATCTTTCTTGAAGCTTCTTATTTTCTGCTACTAGTGCTGCTTTTTCTTCTTGTAAAAGCGATAACTGATGATCAAGTTCATGACACCTTTGTGCCAATTGTTCTTTCATGTCAACAGTTGTTTGAAGTTGTGTCAATAATCTTTGCTGAGTACCATCAGCTACATCCAAAGATTCAAAGTTAAGACTAGTACCTAAACTTAATTTTGGACCGTTCATATTACTTTCCAATTCTTGAATGCTTTGCATAATAGCTTGTTGAACAGTTTCTTCCATACCCATGATCCTTGTTATATATTGTTGCTTTTGATTACAATTAACTGCACATCCAAGAATCAATTGTAATAAACGACGTAATTCGTAATAATCGCAATGTTCACCAATTTTAGATGCATCGGGTTTAATATAACCTGATAACTGTTGATTTAAACATTCTATATAATATTCCATTACAGCTTCGATTATTTTCTTGAGGTTACTAACTTTTAACCTCCAGTTAGAACTGACATCGGGTTTAATCTTTGCCCTCCAAGCAGCAGTAAACCATTCTGGAGCAATTTGGGCTAAAACATCTGCTAAAGCAACACCATCGCTTATATCCTCCACTGTTGAGTGAGGTGCTGCAATGTCAAAAGTATCTAACCATTTAATTAAATTGTTTAACTGTTGATCGTCCATTACTATTTTCGATTAAAATCGTCAGAAATGATTTGTTGTCATAAACAATAATCTTACAACAAACGTGACTCTTAGTTTACAACTTATTTCGTTTTTCTTCGTTAGTTAGTATACAAAATGATACAAATCTTATCATCGCTATCCCATTTATAAATATTCTTCTCTAATTTATCTTCGATACAAATAACACAAGAATCATGTAAAAATACTACTCTGACAGTCGTTCATGTAGAATGGAAGTAGAAGTAGAGAAAAGTAGAGCAAATTAGACTTGGAACAAGTTGTAGTTACTTCGAGATACTTTTCCTTTTACCAGATTTGACGAAATTCCATCTAGATAACGAGTAACAAATAAGAGCAACGCTTCATCTAGATAAACGTCTATTCGCGAATTACGAATGAACTTTTATTTAGATACGAGTTATTTATGTAAGAATTATTCGTATAATCTATAATGCATGTAACATTCAACTCTGACGTTTAAGTAGTTCTGAGGTTGCGAGTGGTTCTGCTGTAAACAGAAATTCCATTTTATATTTGCAAAAATCACGTTGGCAGCAGTTTGCAAAGGGGCAAAGCGCAGATGCAGCGAAGTGGAAGTTTCGACGATGTCATTATTTCTCGTAATGCGAATAATAATTTGAAGGAGATACGAAGAATCCTCTAACAAAGTATGAATAAACGCAGCATTTACGCGTAAGTACGTTTTTATTTTGCACGATAGTATTAAATGAAACGAATGTATTTTTTATATTATGTACGATTGCTTTGATCTATTGTAAAAGCATTGAAAAGAGGTTTGTGTACAATTGTTTATTATTTAAGGAAAAGCAACACTTCTTAATATCAATATAATTTATTGAATAAATTGAATTTCTTTTTTCTTTTAAATAGAATGATACCTTTATAATCATTTTTATTTTGTTTCATGTACCATTTATTTTCGTATAGTAAGTAATAACTCAGTGACTTCAATTATGGCAACTGAAATGAAAGATAGTCCAATAAGGAGAAATGAAAAACAATGTAGTAATCCACGTGCTAAATTTTATAAAAAGCCTATTAAAAAGGATAACTATAACCTGAGTGTAGATAGTATTGATACTCCACAAGAAATAAGACGTCAGCGTTTACTACAGTTTCAGAAAAAGTATATATATTTCTTGTACATACTTGTAACTACATTTCATAAGAAATTATAGGAATAATAACAATTTTATTAACATTATCTGTTAGATGTAGAGATATTACATTTAATGTTGGACGAAGAATATTAGAGGAAGCCTTTAATTCTGAAGAAGATGAATTCGAAGAAGATATGGAAATTGACGAAAATGATAAAAAAAAGCATCATTTATCTAAACGAAATAAGTATTGTGCAAATCAATTAATGATGTCTGAATGGATGTTGGATGTACCTCAGGATCTGTTAGAAAAATGGATCATAGTTCCTTGCCCTCAAGGAAAAAGAACTTTAGTTGTTGCATGTAAAGTATGTTAAAAGAAAACAAATTAATATCTAACAAAGAAAAGAATAAAATCCTTTTGTTTTATTAGAATATATTATTTTGTAGGGCATAACTAATGCATATAATAAACGAGGTAACCGACTTGGAAAATTTTATTCAGCACTTCCAGGTGGTAATTCATATAGTCACAGAAGCAGTTGCACTATTATAGATTGTATTTGGATAAAGCAGCAGAAAATATATTACGTCTTAGATGTACTTGCATGGTCTAATCAGTCTTTAATGAATTGTGATGTAAGATTTTTAATTCTTACTTTTAACAGAGTTCCTTATAATTTATCATCATAATTATAAACTAAAATTAATCTTTTCTTGTTTTAGACTGAATTTAGATTGTTTTGGTTAAAATCCCAATTGGAGGAAAGAAAAGAGTTGCAAGAAAGAAATATACATGTGAATACATTTCCAATATTACCTCTACCACATATTAGTTGTAATACTGATATAGGTTCAGAATTAGCGAATCTTTCGCATTTACATCCTTTGGATGGCTTACTATTTTATCATCGTGATGGACAATACACAAAAGGTCGTACACCACTTGTAACATGGTTAAAACCTTTTATGTTACCTGAAGTACTTGGGATTCATCTACCAGCTTTACTTGATGAAAAACCTGATGGATATATAGATTTCAGATATTATATTCTTAATAGTAAAGCTAAGAAGAGAAAGGAAAAATTGGAGAGTCAAGTAAGATCAATTGTTTTTAAAATGACTCATTTTATTAATTAAATAATTGAGCTAATTTTTGTATTTTTTGTTACCATAGATGGAAATTACAGACGGGGATTCATAGAAATGAAATTTTGTTTTATTTATAAGAACGAGCTCCATATAGAAGTGAAATGTAATTGACTTATTAAAGATTTTATTACTACTATATTTTATAAATATAACTTGATTGTACAAAAAATAATAATGAATATCATTTATAAGAATAATATTTATGCTATATATATTTAAAAAAAAATACATTACTACGCAAATAAATACAAATATATATGTTACAATTTGAAGATTACAGCGTTATTACGTTCATTTGCATCATTATTTGATCAAGTTTGTATATATGTACGTTAAACAATTCTATACAATTCTCGTATATAACGAGACTACCATTCAAAATATCTCAAAATTAAGTGTGTGAAATATATCAAGAGCTTTTTGATTTAAATACAATAGAACACGATTCATGATGTCCATATTTCTTACTTTCATCTGAAAATAAAAATATGATATTAAATATCAATAGAAAAAAAAATTATAAAAATTAAGAATGTTTTTATTTACTCTGTTTTCCATTATAGTAAATACGGGTAAATGAATTTTGCATAACATGCACAGCCCTATCTGTAGACCAGCTATTTGTAACATTTGAGTATGTAAAACTTCCCGATATTTTTCTATATGTTCCAAATCAAAGGAAATTCCATCATTTTCATCATCACTTTGATCTTTTATAATTCTAAAATTCAATATATTTTTATTATTATTCCACATAGTATACTATGTATATTTTAAGTAATGTTGTTATATTTTTTGCATCAGTAGTAGTAAATATTGATTACTTTTTAATACTTGTGAACATACACTGTTAACATTTTTATTAAATCCGAAACTTGAAAATTTAATATTATTGTATCTGTATCTGAAGGTTTTGTCATTTTGTACTCCATGCAAATTTTGTCTGTATGCTTCAAATGTTCTTCATTATTAACTGGAGCAATTACAATAGGAACAAGCCATATTAAATCATCCTCTAAAGCAGGTAATGGAACAACCATACAATCAAACATGTGACCTAACACATTGTGAACAATTTTCATACAACTTTTTGTACCACGACATAACAGGAGAGGTAACCTGATACAATTAGGAATAGTTAATTCTTTGTTAATGGTTTTCCAAGATAGAAGCATTCCTGTATAAATGCATTTTTCTGTACTTTCTTCGTGGCTGTACTTTCTGGCATAAACTTCAACCTGTAATTAGTTATTTATTACTCACAAAATATATAATAATAGTTATGTAATATTCCCATTAAATACATGTTAAAAACTATAACCACTTTCTATTATATTTTGAATACGCATATTTTATAAGGTAATCATATGAAATATATTTTTTACAGCATGTATTTTATTGTTGATAAAAAATAATACCTTTATTGGTGGTGGATCCATTGGACTGGGTCTTGTTTGAACATTGTCCATAATATACATCTTTGCATTGTACATAACATCTTCTTGTGCTAAATTTGTTGCCACTTCTTCCCTTAAGCGTTTTGCATATTGTTTTAAATGTACCTCATCTTGATGAAAATTAAATAAAGTAGATACACCAAAAATAGTCCATGTTTTATATAATAATTCTATAAAGATGGTAACATAAGCATTAACATACTTTAATTGAATGTATTTCAAATATTATTTAATTTCATTGGTAAGAACAGTAAAAATAAATTGGTTAAAACATTTGATAACTAAATACTTTTAAATACTTTTTTCTTTAAATAATATTTTGAAGAAAGTAATAAATTTTAGAATGCATAGAATATACTCTTAAAGTTTAACTCTGTGTAATGTAATAATATAACTAAAGCTACCTTCTAATGTGTCAGTAGGACTATCCGTTTCAGATGCAGAATTAGAACCTAAAACAAATTGTTGCCTTTCTCTTGTTCGAGGCGTCCAAGTCGTACACATTGTATAGCAAGTCCTTCGCAGAGTCTCTTCCTTATTATAATATAATAAAATTGAAAAATGCACGATTCATTTGACCTTTTGTATTTTTTACTAATTCGAAAATGTTTGAAATTTAATGCAACTTCAGACAATCAGGCCAAGCATATAGAAAATTATGCTATGAAAGTAAACTTGCAATGATGTTCATCAATACACTAGACATGTAGTTGTCATGTCTACTACCACCGTATAGTGCAAGTTAATTAAAAACGTGTATGTAAGATATTATTATTATTATTGATATTAGTAATAGTATAGTTCAGTGTCTAGTCCCTTCACGTACTCATAAATGTACGTAAATAGAAAATGAGAAAGATCTATTCAAGAAAGCCACCGCTTACTAAGCCGCTCAGTGAGCGGGATTTTAATCTTAGTGGCGCCATCGGTGGGAAAACGCTTAAGTTTGTAGTGAAATGAGTTCCGACTCTTTTGGTAAGATTCCCACTAACTAATGTTTTTATGTTTATTACTGCATTTACATATGTAAAGGTAGATAAATGTTTAAACAGTATACTGAAATAATATGTTGTAATGTTATGAAGCAAAGAAATGAAAAATAAAGAATAATTGATTGAAAGATATCGGTGGCGCTATCTTACAAAAACAGTGGGAACTATTTTCACTACAAACCTGGGCGTTTTCCCACCGATGGCGCTACTAGTATTAAAATCCCGCTCACTGAGCGGCTTAGTGAGCGGTAATCTTTCTGGTAGCCTTCTGTTGCATTTATATAGCGTGTAGTAATATTTATATGTGCTTTAGGGAAATTTTACATAAGATATTAAATAGTTAAATATACGTTATAAATACAGTCGAAAATTTTAAAAAGTTTGCAAAGTATATCACTGTCACAGTTAAAGAATTTCGGAAATACGTAACAAGTAATCTTCTTCAGCATAGAAAAATCCCTGTTGGCAAATAATGACCGTAATGTGAGGATGAATGATATGTTTGAATCATTTTCTTAGTTTAACTTTAGGTATTGCTTGCTTTTCCATAATACCAATATAAAATACTGATAATATTATTAAATAACGTAAAATGTATAAAACTATACTTTCGATATACGAAAGTGACGTGTAACTTGGTGTGCGTGAAATGAGCTCCATTGGCATACATGGATATGTGTTCGCGATGTCGGGAAATTGAACTTCAGTGTGTTTACGTTATCTCCCGCGCAAAAACGTTAAAAGTTCAACGTTCGATATATTAATTTCTTTTTATAGCAGACAATATTTTAACATCTGAATGTTCACTATCAAAGAGTTATGGGTACAATAGAGATCACATTTCCGTTTGGTGGACAACCAGCGAAAATATTAAAATGGAGGGTCCGAATGGATGCAATGGTTTCAGCTGGCAGAATATTGTTTTTATATCAAAATATAACGCCTGGAACAGAAGATGGCAAGGGTCCTGAGAAAAAGTTTCGAGCCACACGATTTGGACGTGTCACGAAACTTTTGGCAAAAGAAGGAGATATTGTTCAGCCTGGGTACACATTTTTCTTAACCTTACGTTTGCAAGCTTTATTAATTTAAAAGCGTGACGTGAATTTCCAATTTAGAAATTTTAAATATTTATTACGAATACAAATTAAACACATAATTTCTTACTAAGATCAAAAAGCATCGATTGAAAGTTATCCTTTTAAATAAGATTATTGTAATGTATTATCAGTTTCCATAAATTTTTTATTTGTTTCAAAATTTGCATAAGTGATTAGTATTTCAGGCAATTGATAATGACATTAGAAGGATGTCGACATCCTACTGTAATGAAGGATTTATGTGCTGAATGTGGTGTAGATTTAAGGGTTGAAGGAATTGGTAAAGAGAGTGAAAGTACAAAAATATCGCAAGCCAGTGTACCAATGGTACATAGTGTGCCAGAATTAAAAGTATGCCCAGAATTAGCTGAAAAGATTGGGAAAGAGGATGAACAACGTCTTTTAAGTGATCGCAAGTTAGCGTTACTTGTTGATCTTGATCAAACAATTGTCCATACTACAAATGATAATGTTCCTCCTAATATGAAGGTACACAGGCATATGTTGTATGAATGATTGGATCAGCATTATTAATGCATTTTTTGCAGGATGTTTATCACTATCAACTTTATGGACCAAATTCCCCATGGTATCATACACGTTTAAGGCCTAATACTCGGCACTTTCTCTCTGAAATGAGTCGTTTATATGAATTACATATATGTACATTTGGAGCAAGAAATTACGCGCATACTGTAGCTGCATTATTAGACAAAGATGGAGTTTTATTCTCTCATAGAATACTTTCAAGGGATGAATGTTTTGATCCTGCATCGAAAACAGCTAATCTTAAGTATGATTATAAAAATATTTCATTCGATTTATTTACTCCTATTTCTGTGTACATAGTATATATAAAAGAATCTACTCATTACAGAGCTTTGTTTCCCTGTGGAGATGATCTGGTATGCATTATAGATGACAGAGAGGATGTATGGCAAGGATGTGGAAATTTGGTTCAAGTAAAACCTTATCATTTTTTCCGTCACACTGGTGATATACATGCACCACCTGGACTAGAAAAAAATGACATAGCACAAACTGATGGCTCAGTTTTACCCGAAGTACAAAATACGAATGAATCTTGTATTGATGGTAACCAACGCGAAACCGATGAAAACGGCGCTTCTGAATTATCGAGCGTAGTTACAACAGACAATAGTTGCGAAAAAAAAATTCAGGAAACGACAGAAGACAAAGAGAATGTGCGCGAATGTAAAGATAAGAAAGATGTAAATACCAAAGATGATATTACGAAAAATACGGATCAAAATCTTAACTCTAGCGACGAAAACAAGGATAACATAATATTAGAAGGAAAAGAAGCCAAACTATCGACAGAATCGGCACAAGATAATAAAGAGGAAGATACGAAATATAATGAAAATAATGTTTTAGACGAAGATGATGATGATTATTTATTGTATTTAGAAGATATTCTTCGAAGGATTCACGCAGAATTTTATGCCATTACGGAACAAGAAACAAGGCGCAGGTCATTACGAGACATCATTCCCCGAGTGCGAGCACAAGTACTAAAAGGAGTACATTTAACTTTCAGTGGATTAATACCTACTCATCAGAAACTTCATCAAAGTCGAGCATATAAAGTTGCCAGAGCGTTTGGAGCAGAAGTATCACAAGTAATTTATTAACGTTTGTTCATTATACTGACGTGTATCTATCTGATTTTTATCTATCGCAATACATCATTATGTTTTAGGATTTATCTGATAAAACTACTCATCTGGTAGCTATTAAACCTGGCACAGCTAAAGCTAATGCAGCTAAAAAAAATGGAAATATAAAAATTGTAAATCCAGATTGGCTTTGGACTTGTGCAGAACGTTGGGAACATGTTGATGAACGATTATTTCCACTTACTATAAAGGTATAGTAAGTTTTCATGGCTACTATAAATGTAATCGTACAAATGAAATAATAAGCTTGACCATTTCTAATTTCAATAAATACATATTTTCAGGCTCGTGCTTCTAGAATACCACCTCCTCACTGTAGCAGCCCAGAACGTGTCGAAGATCAAGAAAAGGGAATCGAAAATAATTTCGCCGATACTATTAATCCGCTAATGTCATTTACACCAGAAGAAATAGAAATTATGGATAAAGAAGTTGAAGAAGATATGGATGAGCAAGAAATGGAAGCACCTGTTTTTGATGCAGAGGATGCAGATTGCGTAGAAGAATGTGATAACAATGTTCGCGATGGGGGTTCCGATTCCGAGGATTGTGAACGTATGTATAATATATACATTTTATGAATGTATGAAATATTTCTAAACGATGTGAAATAATTATTATTTAATTGTCAAACAGAGTATGACATATGCGAACCAAGAAGAAAGAGGAAGAAACTTTCCAATGAAAGTTCTGAAGATGATGATTCGAGTGGAAAAGAAGATACATTGGATGATGATGACGATGATGATCCTGTAACACGTTTTAGGAGAGGAGAAGATATACCTGATGATTTAGATTTAGGTGATAATTCACAAGATTCGGTCGAAGATCTTGAAATAATGGACAACGAAGATGACCGAGAATGGAATGCAATGGGAGCTGCGCTTGAAAGGGAATTTCTTTCTGAATGATTAATTACAAAGCTGTTTTCTTGTTTTTATGAATTAATTAAGTCATCGCATTATTTGTAAATTTCAAGTTGAGCAATTTTAATAATAATTACTAATAATATTTAAAACAGTTAACACATTTGTAGAATTTTGGACAGAGTAGCTTAATGTAATTTTACTTTGAGTAAAAAAAAATAATATACCACGTTCGTAACGAATGATACAAAGAAAATGTTTTGTATTTAATTATTGAATTTTAAATATATATGCACAAAAATCATATATAGAATTAATATCGTATTTCTAATAAATTATTATTTTAGTATTATTCCCCTTATTACTCTTTCTAAAAGTACTGCTTTATTTATATAAAAATCTACTGTCTTTGAACGAACTGAAGATAACAATGCATTTTTCTATCCAAGTATTTTAAATAACATTTTATACCGACATTGGAATGTATCAAGAAGTTCAAAAATAAATCATAGTGCTTATTTCTTCTAATGTAAGGTCTTTATTGATTACTTAAAAACTTAAAATATACGAATTATTTCGGATTTACCATATATGGATCATCATTATTTTTTGGATCATCATTATACTTGACATTAATCTCTTTATCTGTAAAATCTCGTATGCCTTCCATGGTACCTCTTGGTGGTGCTTCATCGTATTTAAACCCAGATTCCAATTCTCCAAATAATTTTGCATCTTCGTCAATAAACTGCCTAATTTTGTATAGATGGAATTAATGTTTAATGGATTTCAAAAGATAAATTACATTGACTGAAATGTTTATTATTTACATTAAAAATAAAGCATACATACCTATATCGTCCTGCGACAACTGGTTTACCAGTTATAGGATCAGTTATATCACCCATTGGGAAAACAACATCAGTAACCTACAAACGTGATTGATTACGTACATAATAATTAAATCACTGTTTTGATATAAATACCAATATAAATACTATTTATGTTGGTGCATGAAATATACCTTGTGAGTAATAATACGAGTCAGTTTTTCTGGTAAATTTTGTATTAACACAGTATCGCCGACTTTGCAACGTTTATCAGGGTCAATAGCATAAATAAATTCATATTTGCTGAAATACTGTAACACGAGAGAAGATCACATAACCTCAACTACACGTTTGCGAAAGCCATCCGATTTTACATACCATTGAAAGATATTTGTCGAAATCTGAAAGACGTACGCGTATTTTAACAGCATTTTGTTTAGTTGAAGGGACACATACACCTAATAAATATCTAAGTACTGGTGTTGTTACGGCTTTTTGTGCCATCTTCACTGTTCTAATAAATACGATGTATCCGTTTTCTTAGAGCTGAACATTGCTGAAGATCGATAGCAATGATTGGTATCAATTAGAGATGGCGTGTAAAATCACTAACCGTTATTTATCACAGTGATCGCAAAATCATGATTACGATGGTGATTTAATTTCATACACGAGCGTGACCGTGATTCTTTTATCTTGCTAGAATTGTGTCATCACAATTCTTGATTTTAATTAAATTACTTTTTATAAAATGTTTCAATATGTATAGTTTGGATAAAAAATCCGCATATAATACCAATTTCAATTTTCTTTATTAAGTAAACTAGTAGATCATTTATTTTGTGTGGTGGCTACTTCAGTCCCATGCGAAAGAATATTTTCTAAAGTAGGATTACTTTTAACGGAAAAAAGAAACAGATTGCAAGCAGAGAAATTTATTCTTGAACAGCAATACATATATGTTACTAAGCAACTACAGTTACTTATTTGTCATTATATATATTTTATTCCATTGTTATTTTGTTCTTTGTATTTTATTTATAGTATTCGCATTATGTTTTATGTATTAATTATATTATTTTCTAACAGTGTTAGAAAAGTCTTACAGTCTTTTGTAAAAGTCTAAAGACACTTACAACTAAAGTAAGACTTGCAATTCATAATTATTGACTTATATTCATTACTCTTCACTGTTCCTCATTAAAGCATTCCTTTATTTACTATTCTTTACTTTACTTTATTTTATGCGGTGTAGGTAAAACGCGTTTTTGTTTTGATGTCGTTAACCCTTTGCTTACGACTGTACGCGCCGCGGGAGTAACGCCACTGAACGGGGCATCGCGGCGCGAAATGTGCCGCACCCATTCACACAGGTCATCCCGCGGGCCCGCGGTCGGCTATAGTTGGACCCGTACACACAGGACGTCGCGCGGCCGCCGACTATAGTCGGCACCCGTACACACAGGTCGTCACGCGGCCGCCGACTATAGTCGGCATCCGTAACAAAAGGGTTAATTACATATGTGTATACTTATGTAGAATATATGTAAAATATACTGGTAAGGGTGTTTTTCATTACGATACATTTACATTTAGGCTGAAGATTCTAACAACGTGTGCAAGGAACGGTTATGTTCTTCACTAATCAGAAGCGATCACGAAAAATCACGAATCACTGTGAAAAATCACCGTGATTGGCAACGAACGTGATCGAATCACGAGTGATTCACAAGTAGCAGTTCTAGCCATCTCTAGTATCAATTGGCATCCTTGGTTTCCAGTAGAAGATTTAACAATGTACAAACTTATGTAATAACGAAAATAATAATAATAATAATAATGCCGAAGCCGTGTCCCACGAGCGCGCAGCCACGCTGGGAGGCTGCCCAGCCGGATCGGTGGACGGCTCGGCTGATAGGGGATCTGGCCACCTGGATATCCAGGACCCATGGTGAGGTGAATTTTTACCTCACCCAGTTCCTCACAGGCCACGGATACTTCCGTGCGTATACAGGGTGTCCCAAAAGTCGGAGAGGAGCCGGAAATTGGGGGT